AAAGCTGCTGCGGTGTCTGCTCGGCGGGTGTGCGCGTGTGTGCATGGGCGGTGTTGGGGTAGGGCCTTGGCGTATGAGGCATTTCCCACAGGGAATGAGGTCCGCGTGGGTGAGCTAACTGGAATTACCATGATCTGCCTGGAGCTTGGGCTGGAAGGAAAGTGTGAGTCGTCTTAAGCAATTAATCACCCATCGCTGTGGGACAATTTTTTTTTTTTTTTAACTTTTCCTCTCAAAGCAGATGCATACCGTTGTCAAAGTAAATATCTGGCAAGGAGGGATGAATGAAAAAAATATCCAGTAGTAATGGAGAAATGAGTTGATCTCATCCTTTAATGCAGCAGTAATGAGTGCAGGTGCGTGGCCCAAACACGGGGTTGCCTGTGTGTGTGTGCAGCAAAGCCCCCCAGTCACACACGCCATCCTGGGGCTTCTCCTCCTCTGCTTCCTTCCAAACTTCCCTGTGGTTTGTGGGTGGTTGTTTCCTTATGTGTAATTTCCAGATTATAAACTTTTTGTGCAGAAAATTTCAGAACCCCAAATGATTTTTTTTTCAGATTACAAGGGAATGCCTTATCAATATGCCCCCAGTTTCTCTTATCTATCAGTCTGTGGTTGGAAAGATGCAGTTATAACAATGGCTTCTGAAATCCATATTCATGACTTTGTAATCTGAGGTCTTGTCTCTTGGTCTCTTGCAGGTTTGTATTTTTGGCAGTTACCTTTTCTTATATTTTGCTTCTGAACTCTTTTGCTTCACCTTGCATTTAATTATCTGCCCTGTCTCTTGAGTGCACTTTGGTTATTTTGGTTTTCTTTGTTTGTTTAGCATTTCTGAGAGAAAGAGATGCAGAGGAGCTAACCGGAGGTGCAGAGCCAAAATGGACAGTGAAAACATCATTATTCTCATGCGTCACCCTTGGTAGAGCGACTGCTTGAGGCTGGAGGAAAGTAATTCTTCAAATACTTGGAAACTTTGAATCCTGAAAGTGTAACTCAAATTTTGATAGTCTTTTAACAAAAGACCCAGAGGAAAACATGTCTGCTCACTGTCTTATTTGGAACAACACCCTACTTAAAATGTCTATATCCTAAATCGTTTTCTAATGTATCATTTCAGCTATAACTTTCCTATTGTCATGCTCAGAACATGCATTGAGGTGTTAGCTGTTACAAAAGAGGCTGTTATCTTTTCAGCATTTTTTTCTAGTTTACTGTGCTATTAATAGTGCTATTAAAGAAGAAAAGCTCCTCGAGCTTAAGCTACTGGATAGCTTTATTAAGGTTTACATGCTTTGCAGAACCAGGAGAAAGGAAAATGTGCTCCTAACAGCAGAGAGCAGTAGGATACGTGTACACTGGGGGATATTATATATATTTATTTTTTGAACAGGAGTCATGGTGACCATGAAAGCATAAAAAAGAACCTGCCAATATATTTAGAAGATGAATGCAGGTCAATGTGATGAATGTTTAAGATGAACATAGTGCACTAAACAGTAGTGAAATATTAATAAAACTAGGTCGAGGATCAGGCTTTTAACATTTAGATGCTTTTTTGCAGTGCTGCAAACTAAAGGCTCGAACACCGCTGTATGAACTGAGGGGAACCTGCCACAAGCTCGGGCTGCCTCTGA